TAAACGGAGAGAGAGATTTTACTAACAGTGTGGCAAGTGTGCTTGGCACGGTGATGTGTGCGACAGTTCAATACTTGCCTGTGCGGCCCCGAGTGTGAGACGGGGGGGTGCCTTTGTGTTGAGCTTTGAGGGGCTTGGCAGACTCTCGCGATGTGCCCCCTTTTATGGCAGTTATTGCAGGTGGCTCCTTTAAACTTGCAGGTGGCCCTCAGATGAGATCCACCACAGGCTAGGCACAGGGTGATGTGCTTGGGTGGACCGATGTTTTCTTGTTTGGGTCCTACCTGCGGCCGTCTGTCGTTGGAGAGGCGGTGGACGTCGTTTTCATCACTCAGGGATTCCTCTGCTACCACCTCCTCGGAGTGGACTGGAATTGATGTCAGCTTGGCAGTCGGGCCATGGATTTCGGTGGCTGAGTGCGCTGCCAGTTCTGCTGCTAAGGCCTCCTCGACTGCTTGTGCGAGATTGAGGTCTTTTTTCGCGAGGAGGCGCCTTTGAAGGTGTAGGTCCTTGACCCCGCAGACTAGTTGATCGAGGAGCATGTCCTCCAGGTAGGTTCCAAACCCACAATGCAATGCTGCTGTTCTGAGAGCGGCCATATACTGATTAATGGTTTCCTTGTCCGCTTGCTTCCTCATACGGAAGGTGAATCTCCTGGCAATCTGAGAGGGCCTGGGGGAATAGTGGTTAGTGAGGATTTCAAGTAGCTCTGACCAAGGAACGTTTTTCAACTCACGTGGAGCCACGAGGGCTGTGGCAGTATCGAAGACGATGGCCCCACAGTAGATCAGGAAATACGATTTTTTCCGATGTTCTCCCGCATCAGCAAGTCCAATTGCATCTATATAATGGTTAAAGCAGTTCTTGTATGATTCCCACTTCTCCTCATCCGGTTTGAACGCTGGGAAGACTGGATTGGAGTTCATGGTGATGGGGCCGGTAGAACAACCTGTGGAAAAAATCTCTCTGGGGCAGCAGAAAAATGCTCTAGTGCCTGTGGCAGGCAAGTGATTTCAGCTCTGGAGAGGCTTTTCGCAGTCCTCTCTCTCTCTCTGGGTTAGCCAAGTTTGGCCGTCAGCCGTTGGCGGCGTTTGAATTCGCGCCTGAGTGGGCGTTAGTGACTTGACTACGGCACCGTGCTGTGCCTTTTAGGTTTGAAATTCAAATGACAGCCGTTTGAATTTCGCGCCTAAACAATGAGCGGCTGCGGCTCGCAGCGCTTCACTTTCCCTGTAGCTGGGCTAACAAGCGGCTACAGACGCTTCTAACTTTTCGTTCTGACCGCTCTCTCTGGCTGCGGATCAGTGTTCGCTTCTATTGCTTGCTGGCCGCTTTCTCTGTCAGCGGACCAGCGTTCGCTCTTTTTGTTTGCTCTTTTGCTTGCTGACCGCTCTCTCTGGCTGCGGATCAGCGTTGCTCTTATCGCCGGCCGATCGCTCTCTCTGGCTGCGGCTCGGCGGCTAGTGACTCAGCGGTTGCAAGGTGCTTTTGGTAGCCATCCCATCCTCGTCGCCAGTGTTAAGTTTGGGAAAAGAGAGGCTGAACCAGAGCATGAGTGCAACAATACTTTATTATAACAATAAAGGGCTGACCGTGCTTGCCAAGCCGGGAACTGGCTCGCAGCGATCAGCAACTGGTTGGACCCCGCAGCCTGCTTTTATAGCTGGCTGCTGGGGAGAACCAACCAATGGGTAAAGGGGAGAACGCCCCCGCAAAGTGAATGGACCTGAGTGAGAACTCCTAGAGTCCTCAGGACATAACAGTTAGCTTGAGCAATCACCATTTCTGCACTGCATAGCAGGTCACTTAAATGGGAAAAAGAACTAGGTTCCACCAGTTACTCAGCCATGGGACAGTGCAAGTTATACTGGTATACTTTTCTGCTAGCTTCTACTAGGACTGGAATACAAGAAGTCCAAGAAGAAACCTCAGATTTCAGTTGTGATGGACTTCAACTCCCATATTTTTAGTCACATTAAGAGAGATGCTGTCCAATACCTTGGGAAAGAAAACATTTATAAAATACTATTTTGAATAGCTATTGCAAAGCACCTGATTTGTAAGGGCACCATTACCATTGAAAAGAAGGACTTATTTTTTTATTGTACTGTTTTCTAAATGAAAATACTCAAAACTTTCATTTTGTTTTAATCAAAGAGGAAAAATATACAGGGAAAAACAGCGATGCTGAAAGGTGGTGGAATGTCAGTTATTTCATTCAGCTAACCCCATTTAGAATGGATCAGCTCAAAGAACTGCATGTTTTCCTCCCACATCACTTAATTTGACCATCAGGGCCAGATATGACCCTCATATTTGACTCTCACAACCTTTTAAAGAAAATGTTTAATAGCAGTATGTGGGCTACAAATTTGTTTGATAAAAAGGGGCCCTTTTTCCTTATCTTTTTCTATGTATTTATCAGTTGCCTATATCAAAGTGCTGCAAGGTTGTGATAAGTTCAGATTGCTCACAGAGTCATAGATGAGGGAAGGGATATGGATGAAGGAAAATGTTAAATATATTCATTCCCTGTTGATTTTGCAATACAATTCCATACAATCAATATACAAGATAACTTCGCCTGCATTAATTAGCCCTGACTTTTTACAAGAGAGTTTAGAATCATACAGGAACACACAGCCGCATATAAGAAAAAGTGAAACATTCAAACATTAGCATAAAGGAATAAGCTATGTTCCTTGGGTAGGGTATAAAACACAGAAGAGCATTTTTTTTTTAAGATTGAAAAGAAATGTTTGACCTCAGGAGATAAAATCCATCATTGGACTCATCCTCTGGGTGGCTATTTTGTGGTCCTAGAACCTCAAAAAAGATGGAGCTGGGGAATATGCTGCATCCGACCCCCACCTTTCTTTGCTCTGCCTTACATAAACAAATACTTTTTTAGTTAACTTTTGCAATGGTAAGATTTTCTTTTTTTTTTCAGACAAAGAGTACAAGGAAGAGCAATCTTTGCCTTTACTGGACTATTTCCATGGAGTGCTTGAATAATCAGAGCACCTGATTGTCAGAATAAAGGCCTCTTGGAAGAGGTGAGAAGTCAAGTCTCCTCTGTCAAGCTCAAATCCTGGTGAATTCATGGCTGTGCAATTTTCTCAGCAACAATATAAATGTGGTTTGCTATTGCTTTCTTCTCTGATGTTTCTATGTCCAGTATAGCCTATAAGTCTGGGAATCCCTGGTGGTCTCTTTCTATCCAAACTAGTATGATGAAGGGATTAAAAATGTGTTCTGATGGCCTAGAGGTAGAATTTTTGCCTCACAATCAAGAGGCTTTGAGTTCGATCCTAGGTAGAGGCTAATATTTGGAATAGACTCTCCTGCTCAAACAGGGGGTTGGATTAGATGACCTCTCACAACATGTATTGCAGTGTAGTTTTTGTGGGGATAACATGAGAGATTATCATGAAGCTGACTTGATCTGGAAAATGAGCACCACTAGCAGATACCAAAGGTTCAGCGTTTGAATCAGATCAGTAGTTTTATTCAGGACTTTAGAATGAGACAATATATTGCAGTATTTTGTGTTTCTCACATACTTTCATTTCCTGGGTCTATTAAGAGAACAGAACAGAACAGAAAGAAAAATAGAAAAGAATAAAATAGAATAGAATAGGTTTATTGGCAAGTATTTCTTTCAATTGCATTCTATGTTTTTTGCATTCTGCCTTAGTGTCACAGAGGCCTTTAAATGCTCGGCTGGGGTCTCTTAAGAACAATGTAGGCTCTCCCTACATCACGATCCTGGCTGCTTTATATTGGTTTTACTTCCGTTATACAAGAAATCGCAGACAAGCTTGCCATCACACTGAGTTGAAATAGAGATACACCTCCACCCTTTCCGTTTCTCCCAAGCTCCTTTAAACAGTGAACTTCCCCACCCGCTCCCCATACCGCAAATAATTCTCAGTCATAAGCATCCAGGGATGCTCCTTGCAGCGTTGCTTGGTGTTTGGGGGCTTTCCTTCCGCGAAGGGCACAATAGCTTTTGCTCCTATCGCGATTATTCCACGGCGGTCGTGTGTGGTGGCGAAGTTAACGTGTTTGCGGGGGCGGCAGCAGAAATGGACAAGAACTAACTTTCCCCGTTTATCTGGGGCCTCCGTTTCTATTGGAGTGGTCTGAAAATCCGGGCCTGTAACGCGGAGGAAACCATCCACCAGCCCGAAGAGTCAAGGTTTCCTTCTGGCGATCCTTAAGGGCTTCCCTCTAAACCTCGGCTGGCAAGATGAGCTGCCCAGCTCCAGCTGGGAGAAACTTTCCGCATTTCTCAACGGAAGTGGAGGCGGGGGACCTCCGGGGAAGGAGCGAAGCCGATCCAAAGAGGCTTCGGGGGGAGGCAGAGGACCCCCCCCCCCAGGCGAGGCGAGGCGGGGCGGGCGGACGGGCATCTGAGTCAGGCTGCTCCTGCTAGCCAGCAGAGCAGCCAGCCGGCCTTCCGCCGCAGTAGCCCGGCGTGAAGACCAGCGCAGCGCTGAGGGTTTTTTTGGGGGGGTGTGTGGGGGGAGAGGGAGAGGTGGAGGGAGCGGAGAGTCGCGGAATGGCAGGCGCGCCGTCCAATGGGAAGGCATCGGGACGACCACGGGGGCCGAACGAGGGCCGGTGGCGTGGAAGCTGCAGCTCCCCAGCCATTCAATAGAGGGGGACGCCGCTACCGTTACTCCGACCGCGTCGACTTCCCTGCAGCTTTGGGATTTCGGGAGCCGGGCGAGAAGTGGCTCCCTTCCAAAGTCTCGATGGACTTGCGATGGAGCGTCATCGTCTGAGCGCTGCCGCCGCCGCCGCCGCCGGTGCAGAGAGGCCGGCTTCTGCTCCTCTTCCCTCCCTGCAGGATCCAAGGCTTGGCGGACGTCGGCCAGGAACAGCAACGGGCAGCCGGCACCTCGGAGGAGGGAGATTCAACGACTCTTTCCCGTCGCCTTAACGGCGGGCGCTTCTCACGCGACCTCGGCCACTTCCTCGCTCAGCATCCCCAGACCGACCGCTCGCCCGTTGCGGCGGGGGAAGCCGAGCTTGGCCGTTGCGCGCAAGAGTTGATAGTCCCCGCACTTCTGTCCCCGCAATGCACTTAGTCGGGAATCAGGGGCTCCGCGACCTCTGAAAGTTTGCGCGCTCCCGACCTCGCCCGGCCGCTTTGGCTGCGGAGCGGAAACGCTCCGGCTCCGCGGAAGGACGGAGCAACGGCCGAGTCGTCTCCTGGGAGGATGTGTTAACTTGGTGCAGAGGAGTCCCTCACGCTGGACCGATCCTCTTCTCGGGAAACCTCGGCAAGCGATGGAAGGTAGGAAGGACTGGAACTTCTTCTGAGCGGCGACGTGTAGCCGAGTCCGAGGGAGGAGGAAGGCGGGCCTCCGAGGAAGCTGGCGCGATGCCCTCCTTGCTGGGAAGAAAGCGCTGGGACCTCTTGACCCACCTCGACCGAGTCGCTGTTGGAAGCCTTTGCCTGTGATGTGCCCCAGTTGGCAGGACGGGTTTCCAGTCCTGTCCCCAGCTTAGCAACATGAAAGTGTTCCGCAGGAAGGCTCTGGTGCTCTGCTTGGGCTACGTCCTTCTGCTGCTGCTTACGATGCTCAACTTGCTGGACTACAAGTGGCACAAGGGGCCACAGCAGTGTAGTGGCCCCTCACCCGCCCGGCGCATATCCTATCCGCAGCAGCTGCCTTATTACGCCTCTCAGTCCAGGTCAGACACACGGGCTCTCTACGGGCCTCCTGCGCGCTTGGCCCGCAAGCGACAGCTGGTCTATGTTTTCACCACTTGGCGTTCAGGCTCCTCTTTCTTTGGAGAGCTCTTCAACCAGAACCCGGAGGTCTTCTTCCTTTATGAGCCTGTGTGGCATGTGTGGCAGAAGCTGTACCCAGGAGATGCTGTGTCCCTGCAAGGTGCAGCGCGTGACATGTTGAGTTCCCTCTACCGCTGTGACCTCTCTGTCTTCCAGCTCTACAGCACTGCGGGGACAGGGAAAAATCTCACCACCTTGGGCATCTTTGGCGCGCCCACCAACAAGGTAATCTGCTCCTCACCCCTCTGCCCAGCTTACCACAAGCAAACTGTCGGTATGGTGGATGAAAAGTTGTGTAAGAAGTGCCCGCCGCGCCAGCTCAGCCTTTTGCAGGAGGAATGCCTCAGGTACCACACTTTAGTCATCAAAGGTGTGCGGGTCTTTGACATTGCAGTTTTAGCACCACTCATCCAAGACCCTTTCTTGGGTCTCAAAGTTATCCACCTGGTCAGGGATCCCCGGGCTGTGGCTAGTTCCAGGATCAAATCCCGCCATGGGCTCATCCGTGAGAGCTTACAGGTGGTGAGGAGCAGGGACCCTCGCATCCACCGAATGCCATTTCTGGATGCAGGCCACAAGCTGAACAAGAAGGAAGGAGGAGGTGGTTCAGACTACCATGCCTTGGGTGCTATGGAAGTCATCTGTGGCAGCATGACAAAGACTCTGCAAATGGCTTTGCACCCACCGGATTGGCTGAAGGGGAATTATATGGCTGTCCGGTATGAGGACTTGGTGGTGGACCCCATCAAGACTTTGCGACAGGTCTATGGGTTTGTCAATTTAGTGGTGAGCCCAGAGATGGAAAAGTTTGCTCTCAATATGACAAGTGGACCTGGTTACTCTTTTAAACCTTTTGTGGTCTCTGCCAGGAACGCTAGCCAGGCAGTTAATGCCTGGAGGACCGCACTGAGCTTTCCTCAGATCAAGCAAGTGGAAGAGTTTTGCCAACAGTCTATGTCTATCCTAGGCTATGAGAAAGCCAGTAGTCCCGAAGAAGTAAAAAACCTTAGCAAAACCTTGCTCAGGAAGCCAAGATTATGAAAAGGATGTTGGCCTTTCGACACATAAGGATGTACAAAGAGAGTTACCTACAATCTTCCACTTAACAACAAGAGGGAGAATGCAAAATACAGCTTTTTCTTAAAAGATACATTGTTCATTTTACTTCTCTAGAGACTACTGAGAATTATACCCATTCACATTTTTGCATTGCTCAGCTGATATAATTTAAACACACACACAATGACTTAAGTATTTGTAAGACTTTATTTCCTCCCTCCAGAAATTCAAGGCACATGATTCAGTACATACCAGAATCTTTATATACTTCTTGTGATAATAATTATGAGAGCTTTGCACATTTGTGGTGAGGGTTGGGTGGCATCCCAGGTAAGGGACTAATCAGTAAAACAAGATTTAGAGGACTGAACTTTTATATAAATATTTAAATGTAATGAAGAATTCAATAAATATGCTCATTTTACAGTGATTTGATTGTACACACGTATAAATGCATTTATTTATGATACTTGTGATGAAAGCACTTTAGAGAGTTTGCTGGTTGGCAGAAAAACTATTCTTACTTTCTTAAAAGCAGATAAATGGCTTCTTGGTTTTCCTGTCTGTATAAAAAAGTTAAAAAAAGATAAACAGGATTCTAAAATATCTATTGATAGAAATAGTTTTCCATTTAAAAAAAATACAATTTTTCATGTGCTTATGCCACATTGCAACAAAAAATTAGATTGTAAATCAAATTGCACTTTTAAGACAGCCAATTTATTGTGGCATAAACTTTTGATCAGATTCCTGAATTGTTAACTTGCTAAAACTTTACATCTGTAAAAGTGGGATATAATATGGCATTTTTAAACAAAATATTTTTTTTTCTGGCTGCAGTTCTGAGGTTTAAATGGCTCTTGCTGGTTTTCTTTCTAAATCTATGACAGAATGAATTAACATTTTTTAAAAAGGCGTTGGTTGTTGCCTATAGAAACTGTGCTTTAGAACCACACAGTAAATGTTGCTATTTCTTATGGGCAGCATCTGAATGAATGAATAGTAACAAAATAGTTGCTGCTGAGAAGCAAATGTTATTTAAGTCTCCAGTTCTACGTTGGTATAGGGATAAAATTCATTGAACTCAGTATATTTAAATTTTGGCAATCAATCAGTTTCTTTCACTGAGGAAAGTAAAAGATACACTTTGAAACTGATAATGTTTTAAGGGTCTTTCTTTCCTAACACTGAATAGAGAATTATTACTGGCTAATGGGCAATTGTTAAGCGAGATTACCTGCCAATAAGTGCTTATTTTCTCTCTGTATATAGAAAGCTTGGAAACTTTGAAAATGCTCTGAGGGTGCCTGATAGGGGATTCAAAATTAATTATCAACAAGTATCTTAATTGGATTGTTCTAACAGCAAGACCAAATGTTACTGCATCAGAATTTTAGACTTGAATTAAAGGGTGTTCTAGGCTTAGTATCTTGGGCTGTGTGCTATGGTTCATTTGAATTCTATCCTTGAAGGTATGCTAGCTTTTAGATGCTTAAGATGGCTATTATTAGAGGAGTAAGGATTGTGAAAATCAATGGAATTTACCCCCGTGTAGACCTAGAATTGCCTGTATTATTATTTTTCCTCTCTTCATTTGCTATTTCATTAAGTGTCTCCTTCTGAAGCCTGTGTCCTCTTAAATGTTTTAATTATAGAGATGAGCTACATCTGCTGAAATTGTAACTTAGATTTTTCTAAGAGGGAGGTGCAGACTACTCTGCCAAGGACAGGAACTTTTTGATCTTGCTGAGTTGGAAGACTAAATGTTAAAAATGGTTCTTGGGACTTTGTTCTGCCTATAGCTCCAGTGTCCAGGACTTTACCTCGCTCATCTGTCTTTGCCAGGAGTAGATAGGATCAGCTTTATTCTATCAACAATGCAAAAGACATTGCCAATAACTCTACATATTTGGAAATGCATTATCATCTTTAAATTGAGTATAGTTGAAGACCTCTGACAAACCTCTGACAAACATGGATCGTGGTGAATGAAGAAAAAAATAAATGAGAAAAGTTATTTATGTAAATAATAATGAGAGGGAAATGGATATAAATGGTCAATCAACACCTCACTCTGGGTCATACAGGTAGTGCTTGATTGAGATCTAAATTTCTGTTGGAAAGGAAGATTGTTGTTAAATGAGTTTTGTCCCATTTTATGCCCTTGCCACAGTTATTAAGTGAGACACTGCAGTTGTAAAGTGAATCTGGCTTCCATTGGCTTTGCTTGTCAGAAGATCTCAAAGCTGATCATATGACCCCAGGACACTGCAACCATCATAAATATATTGCCAAGCATTTGAATTTTGATCATGGGGATGCTGCAACAGTTGTTAGTGTGACAAATGAACATAAGTCACTTTTTTCAGTCCCATTTTAACAGAATTAATGAAACAACATTTGGAAGTCACCTTGGAGGTCTTCTATCTAATCCAACCCAACTGCTTAAGCAGGAGACCTTATAACAAGGGTCTTCAAACTTGGCAAGTTTAAAACTTGTGGACTTCAACTCCCAGAATTCTTGAGCTAACATGACTGGAGGAGGAATTCTGGGAGTTGAAGTCCACAAGTTTTAAAGATGTCAAATTTGAAAACCCTTGCCCTATAACACTTCAAATAGTCACTGAACAAATAGTTTTAAGTTGTACCTTAACATAATATTGGGCCCTTCCAATTTCCAATTTCCTTTTGTATGAACTGAGGATAGGATGCCGAGTTTTTGCTATTTTTTTTCTCAGCAACTCAAGATCAGTAGGAGAAAAAAAATCCCTTCAAACTTGTTGAAGAATAGAAACAATAGCAGTGAATATGTGCCCACTGAGAAGTAGCTTTTTTTTTTTTTCAAAGGGGCCAGAGGAGATGAGATTCTGTAGTCTTTTCTACAGGACTGTTGTTCTATAACTTGAATTTATTGGCCAAGTGTGATTGGACACATAAGGAATTCGTCTTGGTGCAAATGCTCTCAGTATACATAAAAGAAAAGACAACATCTTATTATTCCATACAACATCTTATTATTCTTGACTCTTGATGAAGAGTCAAGAATAATAAGATGTTGTATGGAAACATTACAACAAGATGTTGTATGGAAACATTATATAGAGAACATTCTGTTATGGTATTATTTGCAATGAGCCTTTGTGCAATCAACCTGGACAAACCAGTGCTACGTGTTGCATCTTGTGACTTGGTGCATTGAATAACCAAATTCCCAAGGAAGACCGGTGAAAACCTACATAGTTGCTTTAGTACATGTCTCCTTGATATTGTTGTCCACTTTGCGTATTATTCCACTAATTAGATGCTCTTTCCCTGCTATTGAAAAATGATGGAAACTTCAGTAAGTGCTTCAGCAGTCTATAAAATCTATTTAACTAAAGACTATGGTGATTAAAAGGCATGTTTGAGAAAATGAGAGACAATAATCTATACTGTATGTATGTTATACGCATTCATGTATAGTGTATTCATGGCCCTATGAATGATCTTCAGGTCTTTGTAAACTGTTTCCATCTTTGTATAATTTACTTGCTCCCTGAAACAAAATCGGACACAAAGACTTGGAATTAGCAAATGTGATTGGATGTGCTGTCCGTTCTAGCATTTTAGTAACTGCAAGATTCCAGACATTTCTGGATAAGGGGCTTATTATTTCTAACTTTTTTCTACATTCCAATGGATGACCTCCTCAATTTGAACCCCCTTATACAATGTGGCATCTGTATCTGAAAACTACTGTTCCTAGCACTCTAGGTTTAATTACTTCTCCATAGCACTGAATAGTCTAAGTACTTTAATCACAGGTTTTTTGCTTGTTTCCTTTTTGCTTATCATATCAATAGCACACCCTTCCGTAAGACATTGTATATATGTGTGATATTATTCATGCGTTCAGTTCTAACCTCTCATAACAATGTTATGTGGAAACATCTTTCTTTATGGTTTCAGATAAACGAAAGTAAAAGGAAGCTGCTACTTAGAGCATAGAAAAAATACCAGCCACAAATGTTTTCTGTCCTTGGAGCACGGAAGGTTTCTTTCAAGAAAATGAGTTTTTCCCCAAATATCTTCTTTGATCCTCAAGAAAAAGGAGAGCTCAGGAATCCCATATTAAATAATGCCCTCTAGTATCCAATCTTCAACGTCTTATCATGCTATTTTAGCTGTGAGTGCAAAAACAGGAAATTTCCCACAGGAAGAATTCTTATAATTTCTTAAGTTTATTAAATCCATATGAACTCTTAGTCCATTTAAACCTTTTTAAAATCAACACTCTATTCACCCAGCATATTCTGATTTTTTTTTTTAAAAAAAAAAAAATGCTTAAACACATACTTAAAACTTCCTTTGTAGTGGATTGAAGGAAAAGTCACCCAGGGAATTCAATACAACTTGCCATTCCTGAAATTCTCAATATTAAAAAATAAAAAATAAATTGCAAATTGATTAAAAAATTAGGATCAGCTGAACTTTGAGTCTGTTTAAAGGCTACATTGACTATAAGCTTAGATGTAATCTCTTGACTCCCAGCTGCTCATTTTATAAGCAGATTGCAAAAAGATTAGTTCTTACTGTCCACTCACGAGGAGCAGCTTTCTGGGCTCGTGGGCTACCCCATGATATCTATTTGGAGAACATCTCACTGGTGGATTTCATCCACGATACTGGCCCTGCTTCTTCAGAGATGTCTTCAGTTCTCCATGCCCTCGATTGGAAGTCTTTTTTTTTCTTTTTAAAGAAAAGGACATTGGGCAGCCTAGAATCGTCTCACCTCAACACCTTCTTGTCATTCCTGGATATCTATGGAAATTTCCATTTTTTCACCAGAGTTAAATAGTGAAGCTTATTCCATATCCTGAAAATTTTGTATGGCATTTAAACTGCTGTTGTTGGATATCTTAATTTTCCCTTCCTTATACTCTTCTAGCTCAGTGTAGGGATTCTGGCCCCCACAACTGGATCACAACCTTGCTCCGCCTCAAATTGCACTCCGGTGTATTCGATTCCAGCCCTTGCCTTGCCAGTAAGCATGATAATGTTAGTCTTGCTTTGCCCAATTTGCCCTTGCTCAGTGGAAACATAACTTACTCTAAGAAGACCTTATGAATAATTAACCTTAAATCTGCAAGCAAATACACTAATTTAGTATAACTAGAATACTACGGTATTTCTGTGTCATGCTTATGTTTTTAGGTGGAAAACTGGCTGTAAAATTAGATCTTGCAGTTTTCAAAAGGCAAACACTCTGTCTTAGGGCTGTGCATGCTTTGAAATTGGTTCAGAAGAATTTTTTTGGGGCGGTGGGGGGAATCTCCTGCAAATACAATTGTGGCAACTCTACTACTTGTTAAAGTAGTCTAGCTTCCCTGTGTGCCTGAAGACAAGCTGCTATAGCTGAAAAGCTGTATTAATGAATG